CCTTTTAAATCTAGGTCACGTATGCATTTATAGCTTGCTGAGAACTTCAGGGTTTGTTGGAGTAGGAATATGAGTGCTGAGGGACTTTACCTTCAGTTCAGGCAGCTGTCTTGGCCAGAAGTACTTGATTATCATTATTGATATGGTAAAGTTCTTCCAGCAATATAGCTCTATATTTCTTGATCTCACATTTAGAGCAACAACAGTTTATGTATATGGATGTTCTAAAACTGTGTAATTCTTAGTATTTTTGCCCCATTTTTTATTACTTTGCCACTGACTGTAGAAACGAATGGGATTGACATAGGACAAAATAAAGAAAAGCCTCTAAAGAGCTGTATATGAAACTGTAGCATCAATCCAGGAAGGAAGGGATCCTAGTTATAAGAGATAGTGTCATTTGAAAAGGAAACAAACTAACCCATAGAGCAGTTAGATAGGTCTTTAACCTGGAGTTTATAAACTTTAAAAAAAAAATTACTGTTTCAATATAATTGATTTTCATTCTAATTTTATGCATTATAAAAACATTATCCTGGGAGGAGTTTGATAGGTTTCATCTGTGGATCTGCAGGTATTCATAGAAGAAATTAAAGAAAACTGCTGTACATGTAAGAGTCTCTGGGAATTCTTTTCCCTATCCCCATAGCTGCTAATCTACTTTCTCCCATCTTCTAATCCAGGATTCTCACCCCTTGAATTCTTATCTTTTTACCTTCTTCCTAGTGGAGTCTTTGTATTCTGTGCCTTGGAAGCCACTACTAGTTGTTTGGAACTGGGGTGGTCCTTGTTCCCCCTGGCAAAAGGAAAGAAGAGGGAAGAAAGGAAGAGAACCTGAGAAGGAGGGAAAAAAAGGGATTTGTTTCTGTTCTTTTAAGTCAAAACTTTCAATTCTTTTTTTTTTTTTTTTCACTTTGAGTCTGCTAAGCGATGCAGTGATTAGACTACTGGGCCTGCAGTCAAGAAGACCTACATTCAAATGTTACCTTAGACACTATACTAGTTGTGTGATCCTGGGCAGGTCACTTAACCCCTGTTTGCCTTGTTTCCTCATATGTAAAATAACAGCACCTACCTCACAGGATTTTGAGGATCAAAGGGGATAATATTTGTAAAGCACTTAGGAGGTGGTATATTAAAACTTGTTCCTTTCTCCTGAACTACAGTGTTTTTAATGATTCATTTTATTTTGATACATTAGTTATTTCCTTATAAAGAAATCTCCATGTAGTTTTTGTTGTTGTTCAGTCATTTCAGTTATGTCTGATTCTTTGTGATCCCATTTGGGGTTTTCTTGGCAAAGATACTGGAATGGTTTGCCATTTCCTTCTCCAACTCATTTTACAGTTGAGGAACTGAGCAGACAGGATTAAGTGACTTGCCCAGGGTCACACAGCTGGTAAGTATCTGAGGCCACATTTGCACTCATGAAGGTGAGTCTTCCTGACTTCAGGCCAGCACTCTATCTACTGTGCCACCTAGCTGCCCCTCCCTGTAGTACCGTACCACTGAAACGCAGTTTAGAATAACCATTTAATATAGTGATTACAACTGACAGTACATGTAACTTTACTTTAAAAAATTTTACTGTTTGGAGAAAAGTTTTATTTTTCAACTTGCATTTAGAGCCAGTAACAACCCATTATATTTGACCTGAATTTTGTCTTTTTGTCTTAATTCATTTTCCAGAAGGAACATTGTTATACATGTTGGTTAGCTTATAGCTTACTGTTTATTTAGCATTATACTTCAAATTGGCCTCTAGATTAATTTTTTTGGCCATTGGAATGCAGCTACCACCTACTAAGGCATGAAGAGGATTATAATTTTTGACTATTGGAGAAAGTTCCCAGACTAGTGAAATCATAATTTGAAATATTGAAGCAAGTTTGTTTCAGGTGTATTCTGAGTTGGGCTTTTGTGGGTTGGTGTAGGAATTTATATTATCTCTGTGGGAAAATAACTTTTTAACTTCTGATCATCCAACTAACAAATGAACTTAAACTATTTTTTATTATATTCTTAGTGTTCATCAACAAACACAAATCTTTAAATAAACTAAGAATAAAGGAACAAGTGATTTGAAAATTATTGTAAGTAAAATTGTAAACTTTCTTTACCATAAAACGTCTTTTGGAACAAGCCCCATTCATAAATTGGAGACAACCTGTAGTGCTCTTTTCCTGTTTCCTATTTAAGTAATAGTAAAACTTGGCTAAATAGGAGTTTAGGGTCACTTAAAAATTCTTAAAGATTGAAGTTGTAGGAAGTGAAATGATCTGCATGTTTATTTCTATGAGGGACCTATAAGGATTAATTTGGTTTATGTCACTTACTTGAAATATTGGAGGATTCTTTAAAAATGTATTTTGAGTAATTTTATTCATATTTCTCTTCAACTCATTAAATAGCTTTGCATTTTTATTTGTTTTCCCTCCTGAAATTCTTCCCCCCCAATTCTCCTTTCTCCCTGTCCTAACCCCCCACATGGCATTCCATATATATCAGTCAACCTAAAAAAGCTTTACTTTAAAAGGTTATACAAGAATACTTAGCTCTAAGATGATTTGTCTGTGAGAATGACTGTGATACCATAAAGATAACATTTATATATTACATTATGGCTTATGAAATATTGCCCTATCAGCAATTCCGTGAGTAAATATAAGTATTTTTCTAATGAATAAAGTCTCAAAAGAGATGTGATCTGCCCAAGGTCACACAGTAAATGTTGGAGCAAGGACTTGATGTCAGGTCTTTTGATTTTTCAAGTCTAGTTCTGTTTTCCATTCTGTTATACTTTGCCTATAATTAGTATTGTAATATTAAATTTTCTTGGTTGGATTCTGTATGTATTAGAAATTCTAAATCAAGCTCAATTGTTACCAGACTAAGTAGCTTTAAAAAAAAAAAAACGCCTTTGTATGGGGATGTTTAGGCCTGCAGATCAGGCAAATTGGTTTACCATGTTTCTCCAGACCCTTAAGGTGTCCTTTTGATTGTTGTTTTAAGGTCCTCTGCTATGAAGATTGCCTCATTCAGTCTCCTGCTGTCACTGTCACTCTTCTTCATAGTTGTGGAGAGTAGAGCAGCCTAACTTGTTCTTGTTCTGCATGTTACTGAGTCCCTTAACTGTTTATCCAGGTTTTGCATTTTGTGTGCTTTGGAGAGACTAGAATATGAGTAAGTGGGCAACTAGTCAAATAAGTGAGGTTTTTTTTTCTTTTTTACATAATAATTTGACTTCAGGTTTTGATGAAAATTATTTGTCACCAAGGGTCACTGAGATTAAGGTGTATTCTGTAAACTTTGTAATGGTTGGGGGAACAAATCAGAGTTGTGAAAGATAAGCTGAGGGAAAAAGAAGTAATGTTCTAGAAAGGCGTCTATGCCCTGGAATGGGAATTACATGATAAAAAACCTATCTTTGGCTTATGAATCCTAAGGTTGGAGTACCAGTGAAGAGGTGGACACCTTTCTTTTGCCTCTATAATCATAATTTTTTAATACCTTTATTATTTCTTAGAATCCAGCCTTCTTTAGTACAAACTTAACTCTCTAGATTTGAGGTAAGTATGATACCTAACTAGCAAGGGGCTAGTCTGTTAGCAAATTGACAAGAACTTGCCTAAGAGCAGGGAGATCCTGACTCAAGAAAAAAACCCAGTGAATATTTAAAAAAAAAAACCAACAACAACACAGGGGAAAAAAAACCTAACAGAAAGTATGTTTTAATAAACACATTGTTTAATCCTTCAAAAGAGCTGTAATTTCATAGCTGTTTGTTGTAGATTGAACCCCCTAAATCAGGAGTTCTTGACCTTTTTTGTGTAATGAACCTCTTTGGCAATCTGATGAAAACCTGTGGACCCCTTTTCAGGATAACGTTTTTAAAATTCATGATAGAAGAAAATGCTAAATTTCATTTATACTCTATTAGTAAAAATAAAGATATGTATATTTTCCCATACAAGTTCATGGACCCCAGATTAAGAACCCCTAATAAAGCAAATCATAAAAATTGTAGTCTGTGAGTCCACTTTTGGTAAAGAACTTCTTTGAATTTACTTAAGTTGGTGCTTGGATTATGAGGTCCATGGACAGGGCTGTGTCTAAAACCTTTCCAGCTTATTTTTCATTGGTATAGCCTTTGAGCACCCAGAGTCATTGCCACCATACGAGGAGGCTTCAGAGGAGGATGTTATGGAGGAAATTTTGTTTAAAAATAACACACACTCCCTCCAATAAAAATCCAGTTTAACACACACACACACACACACACACACACACACACATTTTCTCTCTGTCTCCCTCTCTCTCTCTCTCCTTCTCTCTCTCTCTGTCTTCCTCTCCCTCTCCCCAGCCTAACAATTACTAGGAAAAAAACCCCAAACAAATCTTTTCTCTGTGTTTAGGCAAAGTCTGTCTACAAAAGATCCAGTTTTTGTGCTTTTTAATGGGTTGAGATTTCAACCCCCCCCATATTAATAGCCATTGTTAATGATATGTTAATATAGTTAGAGTGGCATCTTATTGTATCCCCAGAGCTTAGCACTGTGCCTGGTATAAAAGGTGCTTAATAATTCTTAAAGAGTGAGAGATAACAGATGGACAACCTAAATGTTGCACTATTATCTGTGAAATAATAAATGCCTTCAGTCTGTTGAGTAGATCTGAGAATTTCTAGAATTCAATCAGTATAAATCACAGGATGAAAGAGGGAGTGAATGGGTTCCAGGCTGTATTGAAGGAAGGAGTACTCACGCTGATAAGCAGATGAGATCATGGACCTTTGAAGTATTACTAGTTGTACAGTGCTGTTAAAGTGAAAGATTTTTCAAGTTTGAAATCACCATTTTCTGAAAATGGCAACTTCTTCCTTGCAGGTCAGGGACCTGTTACCCTTTATTGAAGAGTTTGAGTCCCAGAGAAGGCAAGGGAGAGCACTGCTCTTTAATGAGTTTGTTTTTAAACTGATTCTATTTCTTGCTTTGCAACAGGAACCTGGGGAAGAGAATGGATTGCTGAGGACAAGGACAATGCAACAGTCGGATAGAGCAAAGTGTGCAGCCAAAAGAAAAATTACACGTATGTTTTCATTTGGGAAGCAGGAGGCCTTTAAAGTTAGTTTGGATGCTACAGTATTGCTGATTTCTCTACTAGGAAGAGAAAACTGATTGTGCTGTATGCCATGGTAACCACTTCTATTCCTGTAGTGATTCAGAGATTACCAGATACTTTGCTTACACCAATCCTATGGGGTAGGAATTGTAAGAGTTGTTATCTCCATTTTGCAGAGAAGGAGACTGAGGCTCAGTGAGTTAAGTAACCTCTTTGTAATATACAGTTGGTAAGAGTTGGAGTGTGAAGTTAAACTCAGGTCTCCTGACATTGAAGTGTGCTACACTATGGTAATGACTAAAATTATCACATAATACCGTATTTCACTGAATAATTGTCACCACTGCGTAATTGTTGTTCTCTGTTTTTTCAGTCCAGAAATTGGTTTATAGCCTTTCATCACATAATTGTCACATGGTATAATTGTCACTATTCAATTTTAAACATATATTCTTGAGTATAACGTGCATCCTAATCTTGCACCAAACACAGTTTATTAATAAATGATTTTTAAGTAAGATTGGCACAGTTTAAAAAAGCTTCACATAAGGTCACATTCCAGTTTTTTGCAAAAAAAATTTGGCATAAAATCTGTGATGATTATTCAGTGAAATATGGTACGTTGAGGAATAGCTTACATTGGCTATCAGTAGAACTTCTTTTATGTCATTGTCTCTCCCTTCCAGCCCATGGAACCTTAAGGAGTCAGAAGACCTATGCTATGGTTTCGTAAAGTATAGTGCTTAAAATTTAACAAAATATTCCACATATGGACTGACCACAGCAGAACACTTTGGGACTTTGCTTTCCCCTTGGGCTCCCTTTCCGGGATTCTTAACAGGGGTCCATAAACTTGTTTTAAAAAATATTTTCATACTTCTATTTCAGTGTAATTGGTTTCCTTTGTAATAGTATGTATTTTAGTTTATTAATTTTCAAACATTATTTTTAGAAGAGGTGTGTAAGCTTTTACTAGATTGTCAAAGGAGTGAAGTGTGTAACAGAAAGTATAAAGACTTGTTAATTGCTTCAGCTTTTGTGGTTTCTACTTGACAACATTGATATATTTTGAGTTTATACTTCACTAAAACATTCAGGTAATATGAACTGTTGCGTCTCATCTAACTTCTCCCTTCCTGTACTTGTAAAGTTGATTTTTTTAATCCAAGCACATAATATATCTTATTCATTTTTAACTTGTTAGATTAAACCAGTATTTAATCTACTGATAATTTTGTCACCAAATAATGAGAGTATTGAACTGCCTTTTTTCAGTTACATTTATAATTTTGTGGCTCTTGGTTGACAAGTTTTTACTTGTTTATTTTGCCACAAGGACCTTGCTCATTTTATATAAGTAAGTATTTCATTTTTCTTTTGTGAATTATATTTTATTTTTTTCAATTAACAAAAATCTTCCTTCCTATGTTTCTACCCAGAAGGGAAACTGGGTGGCATAATAGATAGAGCACTAGGCCTGGACTCAGGATGACCTGAATTCAAAATTGACTTCCAACACTTAGAAATTTTTACTTGGACAGATCACTTAGCCTTTGTCTCAGCTTTGTCAACTGTAAAATGGGGATAATAGTAGCACCCACCTCACAGGATTGGTGCAAGGATCAAATGAAATAATATTTCTAAAGTGTATAGCACAGGGCTTGGCACATCATAGGTGCTTAATAAATGCTTGTTTCCTTCTTCCTATACCTACATTTCCTCACCTATATTAAAAAATCACAGGAAAACAAAGCCCTTGTAACAAATATGCCTTTAAGCAAAACCCAAATTACGTCTTTGGTCCTATACAAAATAATCTCCATCTCAATATATGCTTAGACTCCATCACCTCTCTGTTAGGAGGTGAGTGGCATATACCTCTGCAGTTGTGGTTGGTTATTGCTTTGATCAGAGTTCTTAAATCTTTCGAAGTATAGTTTAACATTTCTGTCGTTCTTTTAGAGTTTACTGAGTACTTCTCTTATTTCAACCCTTCAAGATAGATAGTATTAGTGATATTAGCCCCATTTTACAAAAGAAGAAATTACAGCTCAAGGAAGTTTTAATTAGATGATTTACCTTCACCACTACAATTATTAAGTTGCAGTACTAGGACTTGCACCCAGCTCTTCTCTTAACTCTTAAGTCCAGTGCCCTTTTTAACTTAAAACCTTTCTACAGACTAATGTATCTTCATTATCAGTGCAAGTCTTTTTTATTATGTCTAAAACTGACTATATAGAAAGTCTTTTTAGGCCTTGTTCGTACTTTGCTGTTTATTGCGGATAATATCTTGACCCTGAAAAGCCCGTTTTTCAGTGTTCTTGTAGGGCTGACACTTTGTGTATCTTGTTTGCCTATGTGAGTGTAGTGTTTTCTCATTGACTTTTGGTTGTAATCAAAGCTGTTTCCAAGTCCATGCCATTACTTATTCATTGGAGCCGGTAGGTGAGATGTTTTATTCAGGTAGGATAAAATGGAACACAAAGTCTAAACAGATTTTTCCCAAGTCTTGTTTTAAGTCAGTACTTTAAAATAAAAATATTTATATAAGTAAAAATGGTATACCTTGAATAGTTAACTGTTGGCATTTTTCTGACAGTAAAGATTCAGAAGTGGCTTATTTTCTTCGGGAGGTTTTAATGTCAAAACTGGTTCATTCTTGGATGAGAGAGTCATTTTTTTTTATTATGTTAGATCATTATTATACTGCTGTAATTTATCATCACTGAATCTTAGTCTGTTGTATAGGGCGTTTATCTTAGCAGAAGTAAAAAGGCTATTTTTGAAGGAGATGAAAGAAAAAAGATTTAGGTAGAAGAGGGAGTTTGTCTTGTTTAATTGGATAAATCTTTGAAATGCAATAGTGGGAATTGGTGTGGTATGGTATAGTGAGTGGTAAGAACAATGGATTTTGAATTAGAAGATCTGGGTTCAAAGATAATGACCCTGGGCAAGTCACTTAACCTATTGGGGCCTTATCTATTAAATGGATATATACTAATAATTGTACTATTTACCTTATAAAGCTGTTGTGAGGAAAGCATTATGTAAACTTCAAAGTGTTCTTTAAATTTGAGCTGGCATTATTATTTGATGAATGGATATTGTCCCTAAGACTTCCTGATATATGAAGCATCTAGTTTTGTGTTCCAGAGTCTTAGTCTGTTTACCCACATATCAGTGGGAAACTAACAAAACATCTCGAGTCCTTGTTCATCATAAATTATGACTGGTGTCACCAGCCTCTCCCAAGTTATGTACATATACACAGTATTTTAGAAAGATGAGACAGCCTGCAGAATTATCAGATACCTTGCAGAGGAGTCAGTTCAGTTGAAGCCTAACCAGTCCTTCTGGTTCCTGAGGGTGAATTCTGTCTGACGTTTTCCTTTAGGGTGCATGCTTCCAGGTGGGATTACTATAACTACTTCTCTGTACTACCTCTTGAGCTCCTGAACACTTGAGAATTTGTGTCTTGATTACCTCCTTTGTTGTGATGGCCTAGAAGCCTAATCCTGTATCACTTTTGGTTAAATTGTGTGAAAGATTGGAATGAGTTGCTAAATGTTTTTTCTTTTCTTCTCTAGAGGCTACTTTTTGTTAGAATAAACAGTATGGCCTTGTGAATACCTCATATTTGTATTGCTTTGAAACTGCTTTTCAGGCTGTTAATATGATCCTCCTATAGCCTGGGGAGGTAGTTAGGATAGATTATTACAGATAAGGAAACTGAGACCCAGAGAGGGTGGGTGAGCATAACTGCTTTCCAAGTAGTTCCTCTCCCTGCCACATAGTGTGTGAGAGGGAGTGTGGCATAGTAGAAAAGAAACACTGTATTTGAAAACTTAAAACCTGTTTTCAAATGCACATACTCTGACTTTGGGCAGCAACCAATCAACATAATTTATTAAGCATCTACTAAGTTACGTCTCTTCTCAAGGCTTCCATTTCCTTATTTGTTAAGGAAGTTAATTAAATGATTTGGACTTGATGGGAGTTGGACTTGATGACTAGTCCCTTCCAGCTTTAAAACATCCTGTGATTCTAAATGCTGGAGAGAATAGAATGTGATAAAATTATTAGTACATAATAGTATTTTAAGTCTTCATGGGAGTAGTCATATTTATGATTATTTACTAATGAGAAGGCAGTATGGAATAATAGATTGAAAGCCAGCCTCAGCAGGGAATTCCAGGAAGATCTGTTTCTGACCTGTACAAATCTGTTTGACCTGGGAAGAGGCATTAAACCTCTCAGTAGTCTAAACAAACAGTCTAAGACTAAGTAGCAGAGAGCATGGCAACCTGCATTGGTAGAGGTCATTTCATCACCTGGGAGTTCTCAATACCAGTGAAATCACAGGTCCAGTCTTGATCCATTATGAGTAACAAAAGGCTTTAACATTTCTTTGGGAAGCAGAATGACACTGTGTGCAAACTAGTATCGTATTCCAAAGGACTTACTATAATAACTTAAATCTCTATAATATTTTAAGGTTTACAGAGTGTTTTCTAGGCAGTAGTTCTGTGAGATAAGGTAGTTTTGAGTATTTTCCCCATTTTACAGATGAGGAAACAGACTTAGAGGTTAAGTGAGTTGCTGATGGTCAAACAGCCAGTGTATAGCAGAGGTAGGGTTTGAAACCCAGTATTCTTGACCCTAGTGCCCATGTTTTTTCTTCTCTGTTCTGCTGCCTCCATGATTTTAAGTAGTGACAAGGAGGGCCTGTTGAGGTCAGATTTGGGAGAGCAGTTTGGATGTGAAAGAATTCACTTAGACATTCTCTTTAGTCAATGGGAGCTTTTATTACATGAAGCGCATAGGTCTTCTTAGCAAGAAAACTAAATGAGACCCTGATATTTGGGGGAGTTATGCTTATATAGAGGTTTCAGAATGATGATGTAGTTTTAGAGGTTTTTATGGAGGTTAAAGATTGAAGACAGGATGAGGGAGACAAAAAGAAT